TCGGTCTTCTCCCTTCCTACTACCACTGTTTAGTTTGATCAAAACTCTTTCATTTGGGCTTCCCTGGTGTCGCAGTGGTTGAGGGTCCGCCTGCCGATGCAGGGGACGCAGGTTCGTGCCCCGGTCCGGGAGGATCCCACATGCCACGGAGCGGCTGGGCCCATGAGCCACGCCCGCTGAGCCTGCGCGTCCGGAGCCTGTGCTCCGCAACGGGAGAGGCCACAACAGTGAGTGGTCCGCGTACCGAAAAAACAAAAACCAAACAAACAAAAAAACCTCTTTCATTTGACCATTGAAATACCTTCTTAAATGGTCTCCTTGTCATCTTGCTTATCCTCCAAGCTGGTAAGCCAGTTTCTAGAGTAACGTGTCTAAACAGTTTGTCTAAGGCATTCTCATTGGCTTACAGATAAAGTGAAATGGTTCCTTGGCGGATCTACTCATTTTTGTGCCCTCACGTCCTCCACAGATCTACACTGACCGTATTGTTTGTCATCTCCAGCATGTATGATTACACCGCTCTTTCTGCTAGTTGGCTTCTGTTTATCCATTAAAACACAGCTCAAATGTCACCTCTGCCTTGGATCTTTCCCTAAGTGCCCATAGCGCCACAGCCACACCTGACCTGTCGGTTGAGACAATGTTCTTTTCCCATGGTTTCATACTACGTTGTAATGAACACAATACATTATAACTATCTGTTCATATTACTGTATACCCTGTAAGCCTATAGGCTTCGACAAGGCTAAGGCTAGGGTTTGTTCATCAACTATTAAGGTAGGCTCTGAATGAATACTTATTGAATTCAAAACACCAATTTTAGACACTTGGGGAGGAGAACAGAAGGTTGAAAATGCATTCCATCTGAGGTATTAAATATATTAAACAGCCTTCACAATTTTCAATAATACTGAAGAATATATGTGAAGCACTTGCTCTTATGTGTATGAGGCGGCCACTTGCCCATCCTTTGACTTCGTAGGTGAAGGGCACACTGACAGTTAATGTTGTGCCATTGAACATGATGATGTATGTCCCTATCATCCCTGCTTCCACCTTTATCTCCACACCCACATGCTACAGTCTTAATACAATAACCAAAGTCATCTTTTTAAAACCGAATTTTGATCATGTCATAGTTCTCCTGTAAACTACCCAATGGCTTTCTATTTAATTCAGAGCAAAAACTAAAGCCCTTTATAAGGGCCTACAAATTCCTGCATGAGCTGGCCCTTTACCTCACTTTTTGACTCCGTTTATTAGTCTCCCTATTGCTCTGTCTCCTCCAGCCACGTTGCCCTCCACTCTGAGGTTCTTCTAATATATCAGGTGCCCTCCTGATGAAACAGGGCCTTTGCACCTGCTGTTCTCACTGTCCAGAAAGCCATTATCCAACACTGTTACATGGCCTATTACCTCACCTCTGTCAAGTCATTTGCAAATGTCACTTTGTTGGTGAACTTCTTAGTAGGGCCTTCCATGACCACCCATTTAATATTGCAACCTTTCCCTGCAAGTAATCTCTCTTGTATTTTTCTCCTTACCATCAACTGATAGTTTAAAGAATGTTCTTAGTCATATTATTATTATTGATATCTTTCTCTGTTCTCCAGAGTACAAGTTTTACGAAAGCAGGACATAATAGATGCTCACTAAATAAGTTTCAAATAAATGAATAAAGCGTTATTTTAGTTAAAACCCAAGAAAATGAGGTAGAGTGCCAAGAAAGCTGAGGCAGCATGCTCCACTAAACTCTGATGGAAAAAAAAATATATATATATATACACATATATATGTACATATATATACACACACACACACATATATATATATATCTGTCAACTGGAGCATTTTTCAGAAATCAAATTCCAGAACTTCTGCAGTGAACAGTTTTCCCTTTGCCCCATGCTTGTCCCAGAGCATGTGAAACTGTATTTAGAATTCTGATTTCAGAAGATGGTGTGAGTTAGTAGAAAGAACTAAGAGACCTGGATTTGAATCTGCCTCACGAGCTATGAGTAACCAGGAAAGTGATTAAACATTCTGTGTCTCAATGATCTCATCTATAAATACATTCTTAAGAATAAAATGGTACATTTTATAAAACGCAGATAGCAAATTCCTAGTTACTTGGCTGATGAATAAATGTGAAGCAGCTCAGCTTGGGAGGCAGGAATACCTGAGTTCAAACCTTGGGTCTGTAACTGGCTTTATGAGCTCTACCTCTTTGAGTTTTAGTTTCTGCATTTGTAAGATGAGGATTCTTATGCCTAAGGTGCAGCTGTGGGATCCGAGAATAATAAGGTAAGGCACCTACCCCAGTTCCTGTATACAGTAGATGCACATTAAAGAACAGCCTCATCTCCCAAGTCCCTTCTATGAAGGCTTCTCCCCCAGGGTGTCATAATCACAATGCACACCACAATTAACCAGGTCGTCAAGCCAAGGGAAGATGCTCCCTTATGAAGTACTTATAAATTAGGCTTTCCATAAACATTTCTGGAATTAATAACATGTTACGTTTCATACGTGTTATTTAAGGAAGCAAGAAACTATAAAGTGCATATTCGAGAGAATTGCAGTGATCCAGTTTAGAAACCAGGTAACTGAATTGCTAAAAGCTTTCTAGAAATTTGGTTATGGAGCATTTCTACATATTAATTGGAGCAAAAACGTCATCCACCTGAATACATGATTTCTGGACAGCTCAGGAGAGTTGAGGGTGGATCTGTAAGTGGATTCCAGACTCAACAATAGCAGTTCAATAAAAGGATACGACAATCAAAATTTTTCAGAAAGGCTATGGGCTGACCGTGGCTTGTAGCGTCCAGGATGAGCCTTGACGGCCATTGTCAGGGATACTCTAAAAAAGCATACCCACATGAGTTAAGAATTGGACTAGTTGAACTTAAACATCCTGTGCAATGGTCAAGATTTGATAATAAAATTACCTTGTATGTCTTACAGTAACTATAATAAATGCAAAAATGGTCCAAACTCTAAATGCTAAAAAAACTCTAAACAGACCCTAAAAAACTCTGAAAGAATACACACGTAAAGTCATTTTGCTCTGTGTACACAGCACGCACATTTAGCTTTTGACGAAGTCAGCAACTGTGTGTTTCGTTTTGTTTTAGATTGTGAATAACTCAATATATATTGTTATGTCTACAGAAATCAGGCACTACCTGATTATGATACAACTTGTCATGCATAGAGTAAACTCAAAATTTCTAGTACCAGTAAATATACCAGGGAAATTTCAATGTAGTTGAAAATAGGGAGTAAAATTTGGGGAAAAAGAAGTAGATTATATTAATATGATAAAGAAACTTAAAATTGAACACTACTGGATACAGCATGTCAAAATGATTTGGTAAAGTTTTCCAAATGAGGCAGGTTACACTAAGTTCCAAATCAGAAACAGAACATACTGAGTGAAGAAAACTACTGATGAAAGAATTACTTCTCTGTCTTCTGAAGCCATTCAACTGGAAGAACTATAGAATATTCCCAGGTCCTCTCCTGCCAAGTCAGTTACAATGGAATTTAAAAACCAGTTTTATCTCAGATTTGTGCAATGGAAAATACTTCAGTACTAAATCAATAATTTATTTCAGTGCCATGTACTGTAACTTTTTTGGACACGTATTTATTGTTATGATGTCATGAAAATTTAGGAGAATTTTCCTCTCCTGATTGCCTTTCTATATTATCTCTAATAGTCTTTGTTAAGTTGAGGTATCATCTTCCTCTCTAATAGCTATCCCAGGAACCTGGGATATAGAAATTTAGTCAGTTCCCAGAATGTACTTTATGATTCTCGACCAAAAACATGTTGGATTTTTAGTTTCACAACAGGCTAGGGGAAAAAAAGGCATAAAATGTAATTGTGCTCTACATGTAGAATCAGTCATTTAAACTCCCGAGGACAAAGGTTTCGTCTCCAGTGTCAAAATGAGGTACAGACTTTCCTGACTCACTATCTTATGAGTACCTATTAGCTGTCCTCTGTGTCCTAAGGCAGGCCTCTAGGATTTCTTCCCCTTATTCAACTTGTAACCCTCTCTTTACTAAGGACCATTTCCCCAGTATTCACCAAGTCTATCACCCTTTAATATAACCAAATTTTCTTCTATTTTCTATTTTTCTAATTCCATTTTTGTAAAAATTAAGTTCAACGCCCACATCAACAATGCTTTATCTGCCTTCCCTAAGCTTTACCTGCTTCACACCCTTGACCCCTCCCTACATAAAACCAGCTCCCTAGACCCGCATGCATCTATACAGTGTTTGCCACCAGCCTGTTCTGTATGTGTGCTTTAAATGCTGTCTAGCCTTCCATCAGTAAAAGCAGCCCAACTCGTTCCTCTCTCATTAGTTAGATAATTATAGAAATATAATCTCCACCACTAAACCTGCTTAGAAGGATAAAAGAGCTGATGCCTGTTTTTTGGACAACAGTGGAACCCCTGAGTTGATGTCTCACATATGATTTAATAGCTTTATCAACAACTGGTTTAATGTCGCTGCTACTGTTGTTTCAATTCTATTATCCATGTGTCTAAGATACATGTGATAATGCTGTTTAATTTCGCTATTTTTCTAAAACATTGCCTTGGGTGATACAATTTGAGACTATAATTTTACAACATGACACTAAAATCATGAAGCCGAAAAAAGCTCCTAAGTTAAAATCTAATTCTTGGTTCCAAATGTTATTTATACATACATACATAATTTATTTATATATGTCTATAGATGTATATAAAAATCTACATGTATATGTATTTAAAAACCTTTATATATACATATACCTATACATATACACGTATATATTTATATGTATATAAATCACACATAATAAAAAAAAAACCCACTTTTAAAATGACAGGTCAATAGATTGTTTAATTTTTAAGTACCCAAATAAAGAATCATCTATTTACTGATGGCACACTGTATGCAAGACACCACGGTGTGAATGTGCAGCTATGAATTACCTCCTCTCTTCTTGTGTCGTGTCCTTTCTGCACAAACCAGATAACTTTTGCTTGTAAAGATCGCGGGGTACATTCCAGCAAAGTACTGTTGTTCTCTATGCCATAGGCCAATCGCTCCTCAGTCTTATCCAAAACATCCCCTATAACATAAATGTTAACATCAGCCTTGAGACTTTGATTTTACTGGTAAACAATATTTTTTAAAAGATTCTTTATTCAGACCCCTATAGCAAAGTGAATGACTTTTATTACTCATTGTTAATTTCTATACAGGAGTTATTTAGGGAGAGTAGCATACCAAAATCTAGGCATTAAAAAGGCACAGCAGGCTATGGAGTGAGACAGAAAGAAGTAACTGGGAGTTTGGTTCCAAAGGATGTAACAGTCAGATCAGTAAGAAGGTGCATCAGTGTTAAATTCATGAAAAATCAGTGGCAACATCCACTGATAAAGCGGGCAAGGTAAGTACCAAACAATTAAGCAAGGCATAGAACTAAAATTCATGATTACAACCAAAAGCAGAAATCAAGGAGATATGGCACTACATAAACAAAAGTGTGAGCGTTATCTTGACAATGGACTGCACTTATCCAGATACGGGGCTCCTGAAGGAAGAAAAGAGTACGAAACTGAACTAATAAGGACTTTGTGAACCAGAGCTTCTTGATTATAATCTGTATTTTGGCCCAGAAAGGCTCTCACTGAACTTGAACTCAAATGGGCATAGAGGCAAGTATACCTAACTGCAGTTTGGAATAAAAGCAAGTGGATTTATTCTTCGTTGTTTTAACCAAGATCAAAATCAGTACTAGATCCCAGGATTTTTTTTTCTATGTCTGAGTCCTCCTTGCATTCAAAACTGACCCCTAAATTTCCCTAAAACTATAATGCCACCTTTCTCTAGCTAATATTCTCAGAGGCTTACATCTTGCATCAAATCCAGAATCAGCCTGGGGTCTAGCAAACTGATCCCGGACCACAATCTCTGGATCTGTGTATAAATATCTCTGGTCTCCCAATCATGGTGCCCCTTCCCTCTGTTGCTTCCTGGTGAGCACAGCCTGTTCACCAACCACCATGATGGTGTAAAGAGTCAGGATGGTGGTATTCCGTCTTGTCTGACTTCTTTACATTTGTCTACAGCTGAAAATTTCTCTCTTCCTTTACACATTGGACCACCTACCACCTTTCATCAGAAACCCAGCGAAAGAGTCGAAGTTTTTCACTTTATTCTATCCAAAGCTTAGCAGGTGACTTGATTCAAGTTAGATCACTCTTGAAAAAATTACTGTAAGTTATAAAAACACGGTGAAGATATTCCCATGGTTGAACTGGTGAAATAAACCCTGCAAATCACTGTGGCAACTGTCACCTAAAGTATGCAGCATTTTTGTTCTAGGAGTCCCCTTTTTGAATTCTAACAATAAAGCTTGGTGGGTAGGTAAAACGTTTTCCTAATTAGGAAAGATTATATATCAAATGCACAAAATCGTAACTACATGGAAAAACAGAATACTTTCACGAACATTGTTCTAGTGTGTATCAATCACAAAGAAAACAAGGACCCTGTTTAAGAAGCTGACAGTTTATCTTCAGTGCACACTCTAAGAAATCCATGGCAATCGATTTTCTATGGATTACCGACAAACTGCTGTCCAAAGCACTGCTGAGCTGCATTTCCATGCCGAACATCTTGTCTGCGGAACCGCCTGAAAGTAAGTAAATGCATTTAGGAGATGTTCAGATTTCAATTTTCCAGACTTTAAAAGATAGCCAACCGCATTAAAGTTTCAAGTAGTATTCTGCTACTGAAAAAATTGATCAGTCATACAAAACCAGGATACAATCCAAGTTTCATAGTTTTCCATATTTCCATTGAATGTTATTCAATGGATAAGATCTATAGAAAACTGCTTTTTAAATCGTCACATGAGTTTGATTATAATTTAAGAAGGTTCTCTTTACATTTCGTTAAGAATTTAGTTAAACAAGAAGTCTTCTAGTTCAAAATGAGTGTCTTGGGTGGTAAAGAATGTGTTCAGATAAAGAGAATGGGATTTGAAGCAGACTACCTATTTGAGTAAAAATGCATAAAATTCCTATCTTAAAGTGCATTAAGTAAAGGTATTTGGATCTAAATGTTTTGTTCTACAGACATCATGATCAATATGATTGCTAATAAAAATAAACTAATAATATACTCAATTTACTTTTATTCAGTTATAACATTTAGAAAGTATATGCCTCTGTTGAATGTGATGGTGCATTTACCTGTTTAACAGGATGTCTTACATATAGTAGAACTCAAGAAATATTGTACTTCTCCTCAATTTGCCTCTAAAAGGCAAATACGCTTCTAGTATATTTTCATGTTTTATAGTTCGCTTAGACATATAATTGACAAATGACAATATTCTTTATCCATGGAAAAAGAATTCCAGAATATATACCATGTTTCAGATTTGTAAGCACTGTTCTCAGGAATTAAACAATGGAAATTATCATTATTAGTACTGGGAAGCTAAAATCAAGATCTTCAGCATATTAATTCAGATTTGAGATAAAAACAGAAGTATTACAATAAAATCAGAAAATACTACTTGCTTCTCTAAATCATGGCATATCTTCAAGACTGAGGGAAAACCAGAAGGCAAAACAGAAGTTTTACCCCAGAGGGAAATGGGTGAGACTTCCAGACTGATAAAGAGATGCTTTAACCATATGCAATGATAAAATTTGGAAAAGGGAACCAGATTCAAATCCCAATGCCACCCCTCATGTGCTGCATGAACTTATACATACCCCTTGCCTATACTGGTTCTGTGTGTCTTCCTTCGTAAAATAAAATTGGGCTAACTGACCCCTAAATTCCAGTCTCAATTTTTTTTTTTCATTCTAGCTTTTCCTCAAGTTCACCAAATAGTGATATTGGAACGTTATTTCAAGAGATGGAGTGCTTCCTCACACATGAGTTCAGATCCTAGTTAAGAACGCAATACTTAAACAACCATTTAAGTATTTCCCTATATTGAAAGCTAGGACAGATGAATATTTCCAATCGATTTTTAGGATTATGATCTGTTTAAAAAAAGAAAGCATGTTTAAAAAAAGATAGATTGTGGATTAGAAAACCTTACCTAAAGACCTGAGATTTTAGAAAGTTAAGATTAAAACTGCCACACGGATCATTCTACCGAGCTAAACTGAAAATAAACATTGACAGAAAAGTAAGGAGCAAAATTTAAAAGTTTTAGACCTCTGTATTATTTTATACTAGCGTTAACATCTATTATACAACTAATAGCAGCTCTAGATGAGAATAAAAGGCTGTTGTTAATTCCTCACTTCACTGAGTATTGCTTTGGTATTGGGAATCCCAAGCCTGCTGATGAATAATGAATAATGGAACAGGAATAAATCAATGAATGAGAAACAGGTTCCACTTTGCAGAAATGATACTGTATCATATTTATTACACAGATGATTTGAGAATAAAGGGAACTACAGTCAGCTAATACTAGATAAGCATTGTGGATAGGTGTATACAAATTTTGTTTAAAATCACTGGAAACATGCATTTAAAAAAAAAGATATCACATTCTCCAACAAAGCTTCAGTTCACCTTATACTATCCTAAAATAGCTGTTCTTTACTTCAGCATTTAAAAAAGAGTGTATTAAAAGCAGGAGTTTTAGAAAGGTTAAGCAAAGTTGTCGTTTATTCTCCAAGTCGCATATTTTTCTTATATCTCTTGCCTCTTGGAAACTTTTAAAGAGAATGCTGGAAATAGACGGAATACAAGAGTAAGGGGGAAGAAAAAGACCTAGCTCTAGAAATTATAGTGTATTTTGGAAGACTATTTTAAACAAGTGGTTTGAACTGCGAATTAATGTTTTTCCTCTGTTGATTCATTTTCACTCCGTGAACAGAAGGGTATTTATTTTAATGACCAGTTTTCAATTTCTGCTGCTAGTCAGATCTGAAGCAAAAACGATCTGCTATAAAAGCAAACTATTTTCCCTTTATGTCCTGGAACTTATCCAAAAAGTTCTCCTCCAGGGGTGGGCGACGGTTCACAAGAGTGACGCTCCTGGAAGATCTGCATTACATGTCACTGAACTGAACTAATTCACTTACGAGTGTGGCTCCTGACTCCAGCATCTCAGTCCTTCCTGTCTATGATTTTGCCTATTCATTTAACTTTTTCTAAATAACTCTTTTTGTCCACCCTTTTAAATACTATCTTACAAACTTGTGCATGTACAATCTTACAAGATGTACTGTACACCAAGACACACTTAGCTATGGAAACTGCTCAGTTAAAATTCTTCATCGCTCTTGCATGCCTAATACGAAACCTTGCTATTCGGAAGTATTTGATGCAAGGTTTGTAAACATATTGATTTTTGCTAAAAACAATAGGATAAATAATATTGTTACTTTTGGTAAAACTACCTTTCTGCCCTTAGATCCTACCACTTCACTCCTAACCTGTGGAACTACACGGCTTTCCCAGAACATTCTGTGCCTCTGTACAAACAATTAATTCTCTTTAGCTGGAATCTCCTTATATCTCTACCTTCAAGACTGAGCTCAAAGGTTGGGTTCTTTTGAGAATTAAATAATGTGTTATGTGTATTGCACTTAGTCCAGCACCTTACACATACTAAGTGCTCAGTGGTGAGCTATCATCCTTATTTACAATTCCATTCTCCACTTCAGGTTCTGATTTCCTACAGACAGGGGGCTGTGACTGTTTATTCATACCCCTTTAACACAGTACAGAAACTGGCTTAATGAGTGAATAAATCATAAAACAATATTTTCAATTAATAACATGGCTATATTCCTCAAGAATTGCTTTCAAATATCATTAAGCATTTGTACAAAATCAATTAACTCACTCAATTCTTTAATACAGTTGGTAAATTATTTAGTTCACAAATGTCCTCTCAAAGCATCTTTTTTTTTTTTTTTTTTTTTTCATTACGCGGGCCTCTCACCGTTGTGGCCTCTCCCGTTGCGGAGCACAGGCTCCGGACACGCAGGCTCAGCGGCCATGGCTCACAGGCCCAGCCGCTCCGTGGCATGTGGGATCTTCCCAGACCGGGGCACGAACCCGTGTCCCCTGCATCGGCAGGCGGACTCTCAACCACTGCGCCACCAGGGAAGCTCCTCAAAGCATCTTTTTACTATCTGCTTAGTATATATTTAAACACTCATTGCAATGTTAACTTAGCTAAGGTCAAATTAGCAAACATTTGAATTAGTGACTAAGTGTTTTTAAAAATGAGATTCTACTATACATGTAAACTTAGGAAAATAGCAACTGTATTAAATTAGATTAAATTAGATTTTGAAAAAGGTTTAAAGAAAAGTAGCCCAAAGTGAAAGAGCAAGAGTAAATGAAATTAATAAAAGTTGCTTTTCAGTAGGGAAACTGTATATGAGTCTATATTTTTGCTTTATATTATCTTTAGTCACTTTATCAAGTGAAAAAGATAATTGCTTATTCTATAATAAAAATATTTTCCCTTATTTTTGTCCCCAAAGAATGCACAATTTCTTCTGACTTGAGTGAAGATCCTTATTCTTTAAAATACTTTCTGTACCTCAAGGTCTCCTGTTTAAAGAATCCCAGGATTTACCTTCTCTAACAAGTAGCAATGACCCCACTGAATTGTCGATATTAGAGTTTGGAGGTCTTTAAGTACCTTTCATTTGTGTTGAATTAAATCACACATTTCATTAATTATACAGGTCATGCATTTGCCTAGGAGTTAAAATATTCACTTTCAAAATGAAATAAATGAAGACCAGCTGGTCGGGAGGACACAGGGCAAATGCAGGATGTATTTTAGAATTTATTTATTTATTTTCCTTTTAAGTCTTTGAATTCCTCACGTGTGGGGTGGCTAGCCATTTCCACATTTTACGTTTATCTAAACTGGTTTCATGTCTTGCAGCAAAAGTTTCAGGAGGGGGAAGAGTTGATTGAAAGCCGGAGGAAAAATAAAACCCCAGCAGCCTGCTCAGCCCAGTCTCTACACAATAATCAATGGGAGTTATTTTTCAGTAAAATGTGGATGTTTCAAAACTTATATTATGAACAAAATAGGACTATGATGATTAGGAGGTTGGGATTAACGTATAAACATTACTATATATAAAAGGGATAATCAACAAGGACCTACTGCATAGCACAGGGAGCTCTACTCAATACTCTGTAATAACCTATATGGGAAAGGAATCTGAAAAAGAATAGATATACCTAAAGTCTATGTACACCTGAATCAAGTTGCTGTACACCTGAAATAAACACAACATTGTAAATCAACTATATTCCAATATAAAAACAAAAAAATCAAAGTTACTTTGGAATAAATGGAAAGTCACTAAAAAGAAACAAACAAGCAAAAAAAAAAAAAAAAACCACAGTTATTTTCATGGAATGGGTACAAAAAGAGAAGAAAATAGTGTTAGGTTTGTTTCTCTAAATAAGGGAAAGATTCCACGGAAGACTCTCTCACCGTTTTGCATGTGTGCCTGTTGGGTAATACCGGGAGCAGGATATGCCATCCCAGGCGCAGTAAGGGTCTCGAGCCAGGCAGCAGTCTGCACAAGCACTTCCATACATGTCACACTGATGGAATCTGACTTGGGCCACGGCAGAAGCAGATCCAATATAGAGCTGTTGCTAGAGACATCAAGGAAGAGAGAGGCCACTAGTAGAAATGGGCAGAATTCTCACTGAGCTCTTACACCTGGATTTTCACATTCCTACACAATCGCCTCTGTGGATACTCACTTAAATGACTGCAGTTACTCAAGACAGATAATGGAACACTGATACTTTCATTTTCTCCAAGATCTGAAATACTTTTACAGGTTTGGACGCATGAGTAATAAAATTGCTAGAGCAAGGCTGACAAATATCTCAAGAAGTTGACTATTTTATTCATTATCTAAGTAGAGTCTTTCGTCATCTAACACTGTAGGTCTTTTTAAAAGATCTATAGGAATGTCCAGTAGGAGACTGGAAAAGTAAATGGTCTTTTTTTGCATTTTTAATTGAGATACGACTGACATATAACATTATATTAGTTTCAGCTGTACAACATAACGATTCGATACTTGTATACACTGTGAGATGATCACAATCAGTCTAGTTCACCGCCCTCATCACAAACTACAAATCTACAAATTTTTTTTTGTGATGAAAACTTTTAAGATCTACTCTCTTAGCAGCTTTCAAATACACAATACAGTATTGTTAACTATAATCACCATGCTGTACATTATATCACCGGGACTTACCTATTTTATAACTAAAAGTTTGTACCTTTTGATAACCTTCACCCATTTCACCCAGCCCCTGCCTCTGGTGACTACCAACCTGCTCTCTGTATCTATGAGCTTGTTTTTGTTGCTGCTGTTGTTGTTTGCCAATAGTTCACATATAAGTGAAATTATATGGTATTTGTCTTTCTCTGACTTATTTCACTTAGCATAATGCCCTCAAGGTTTATTCATGTTGTCACAAATGGGAGGATTTCTTCCTTTTTTATGGCTGAATAATACTCCATTGTGTGTGCATATATGTATGTATGTGTGTGTGTGTGTGTGCGCGCGCGTGTGTGTGTATATAAAATTTGTTTAACCAGTCATTCATAGATGGACACTTAGTTCATTTCCATGTCTTGGCTATTGTAAACAATCCTTCAATGAACATGGGGTGCATATACCTTCTTGAGTTAGTGTTTTTGTTTCCTTTGGATAAATACCCAGAGGTAGAATTGCTAGACCATATGGCAGTTCTATTTTTAATTTTTTGAGGAACCTCCATACTGTTTTCCATAGTGGCTGCACCAATTTACATTCCCACCAACAGCTCACATTGACATATAATGTAGAAAAGTGATGTGGATATATAGAGAGTGATGTGGAATAAACTGTATGTTATTAAGTAAAAAGTAGAAGTAGCAGAACAATCAACATCCCATGTTCCCATTTGCCTAAACATAAAAGGTTATTTATAAATAAATGAGGTAATATATGCAACAACTACTTCTGAAGAAATTTACACCAGAAGCTGGTTCCAGTAAAGTAGAAAAGAGGTTTGTGTTTCATTGTACACTCTTTTGTATTACCATCATTACCATTGTTTTTTGCAAAAACATTACCAAAAAAAAATCATGGAATAAGGTCCTATCATGGTTGTAGAGGTAAACCTACTCTTGTCAACCTTTCTAAAACCAGAAAGTGAAGAAATCTATTACCTGTAAACCACTATGTATTTTTGTCAGAATAAAACTGTAACTTGTTAATATATAAGCACACATACTTAAGCTTTCTATCCTTTGACCTTATCTGATAATACAGAACACACACACCACCCCCCCACCCCGCCACACACAACTTACTCTCTTTGATGAAATCTCCATAGAAATAATCGGAACTGGATCCTGAAAAATTAAAAAAATACGTGCCCTTTTTAGGAATAAAAATATAGAAACATACCTTAGTGTGGTTATAAATTACCTGAAATCATACTAGGTATGTGAGTTGTTTGCTGCCAAGCAGTCTACAGCTTTCATTTTAGTAAATCAAAAGGAAAATACACTTAAATAAAATACAGCTTTCTTTTAAAATATATTTTCTAGTAGAGTAGGACAAAATGTGGATGAGAAAAGTAGTGAATAATCTAAGCATCTTATAGTTTGTCTCTGGATTATAATTTTTGTGTTTGCATTTGAATATTACTCATGCTCTGGAAACTCAAATATCTTTAAATAAAATAATAAAGTCAGAGTGTTCTTTCTTATAAAGAAAGTTGAACCATTAGAAGTAAAACAGTTACGTCTTTGAATAGGTCTTACTGCCAATAAACCATGTGATCTTTCATTGTTTTAACCCAGGCCTAAACAAAATACTTTTCTGTTAGAGTTCAATTTCCATGAACCCAGAATGCTTTGAAAAAGATGCATTGTCATCATCACTGTCTTAGAATTGCACCAGAGGAAGGATGAATCTACAGGATAGTTTGAGAGCCTATGTGCAATTCTAGGGATGGTGACTGAGACGACAGTGTCTCTAAGGACACCACAAAGTCAGTCAATTCTGAAAGTGGAGAAGCCATAGGCAAGTGGGATCCGCTCTGTGGATAATTACCCTTCAAACAATTATTTTTTGAAAGAGAAAAACTGATCCTCTCTATTAAATTTTTAAAACTATTTTAAACTACAGAACCATATATGCAGGCATGCATTTATTCATTCAAAACACAATGTTTCTTAAGGGTTTATATGAACAAGACATTGTGATGAATGTGGTTAATATGAGAGCTATGATTCCTAATATGAAATGAAATCTTACAGAGGTCCAATACGCAAAATAAACAAAAGCATAGCTGCTCTGGTTGAGATAAGAATGTGGTTAACTTTGTGCATAGTTATGGGGAATCTAATCTCCAGAAAAGCCTACGCGAAATAAACTGTTTCTCATCAAAAATGTTTTCATATACATTCATCACCTACATACACAATCTTCATTACTTGCAGATTGTGTTCTTGCACATTTGCTTACTTGCCAAAATTTATTTGTAACTCCAATATCAATACTTGTCTTTCGCAGTCATTCACAGACATGTCTGTGCTCAGAATGGCAAAAACTCTGAGCTGCCCAACGTGTACATTCCCAGACGACGTCAGTCAAGGTGATACCCTGCCTTCTTGTTTCAGCTCTCATATTGTAAACAGGTATCCTTTCCATGGTCTATTTAGTGCCCCATTTTCATACTGTTGTGCTTTTTGTTAGTGATTGTGTTGATTAAAAGGCCCCTAAGCATAGTGCTGAAGTGCTGTCTCGTGTTCCTAAGCTCCAAAAGACTGTGATGTGCCTTATGAAGAAAACATGTTTTAAATAAGCCTCGTTCAGGCATTAGTTACAGTGCTGTTAGCCATAAGTTCAACGTTAAGTAATCAACTATGTATACTAACTAAGGTGTCTTTAAACAGAAACACACATAAAACAAGGTTATGGATTGATAAGTTGACAAAAATGTCGTGACTAGAGACTCTCAGGAACTTAACCCTGTATCTCCCCTAGGAGCAATGATTACTAATTAATTCAGCGTTCAGGGTGACTTCAAAGACGGTAAGTGCCACAAATGTTGAGACTTACTGTGTGTGTGTGTGTGTGTGTCAATATGTACAATTGTTTGCGTCATGTTTAATCTTTCCATTATCGTTCTGTAGTTTTCTCTCTTTTGGTAAATTCTCTGTGTAAAGTGCATGCCATAAAAAAGCAGTCTACTCACCATACCACAAAGTCCACAACATGAAATCTACTGCTATTTTTTAACTGTCTATATCGATAGTACATTTGTTCAAGATGATACATTGCAATAATGATTCTAGAATTCACTTGTGGGATAAGTGTCATTTCTTTATGTCACAGTTCATATAATGAAATTCTTTTCATGCTTGGTAAATACTGGCCTCTTCATCTGAACAGTCTATGAGAATCAGATGTATCAGAATTTTAAATCATTCTTCAATTCACTCAGAATTCACAATATACCTGTTAGAGAAAAACTGACGTAATGTTTTTCCTATTTATAACTCACTTGCAACTGTCTGTAATACATAAATGTTGGCTATATTTTTCACTAAAAATACCTTGAATATCTGAAGTTCTTCTAGAATTACTTCTTCCATTGATTCTGTTTCTTGGTTGTAAATCGTGATTACTTTCAGCACAATTCCATTATCTGTGAGAAAACAAAAGAGATAAACTAGAAGCTTTGACACAATCTGGTTTTCAAACAATTAAAAACAATGGAGAGACCATAAATTCAAATAAGATTTGAAATCTAGATGTATAAAACATTTAATCATTGCTAGTGAAAACAATATGACTACTTACATATTCATATTCATTATTTCAAAAATTTGATTCAAAACTCCAGTTAAAGGTTCAGAAATCAAAATGTCTTTTGGAATTAATGAAATAAAAGACAGATGGCAAATTATTCTAGCTTCTTCTGTGATGTATGATGAAAGAAAACTTTTTACCTAAAGCTACCTTCCCTGTAAGAAACTATACCTTTAATCTTATGGAACCTTCCAAGCAACGCACTATGGAAATTTTTATATATATATATATAGATAGATAGATAGATAGATAGGCATATAGATAGAACATGTTTATATCTATATACACTTTATTTTTTCCTTCTAGTTTTAATGAGATATAATTTACATACAGCACTGTATAAGTTTAAGGTATACAGCATAATTATTTGGCTTACATACATCATGAAATGATTATCACAATAAGTGAACATCCATCATCTCATATAGACACAAAATAAAAACAATTTTTTTCCTTGTGATGAGAACTCTTAGAATTTACTCTCTTAAAAAGTTTCATGTAACATACAGCACTGTTAATTATATTAATCATGGTGTACATTATATCCTTAGTACTTACTTATCTCATAACTGGAAGTATGTAACTTTGACAACCTTCATCCAATTCTCCCACCCCTCACCTCCAGTAACCACAAATTTGGTTATATACACTTTTAATAAAAATTTCAAGCATACACTATTGAGAGAATAGTATAATGAGTCCTCCTGTACAAACCATTTAGCTTCCATAATTATCAATAATTTTATAAATTTATATTCACCTTTTAAAACTCATTATTTTTATTATTTCTGATATTCTGACCTTGTTATTTCCAATGAAAAATTTGAAAAGACGCTAATTTGCTTGTAAGAAAGATTTGGTGTAGTGGCTAGAAATAACTTAGGGAAAAAAAGCACGTTGGAGGTTCTGATCCAAGAGTTTCTATGGTATTTAAGCAATTTGTTTAAAAATTACGAAATCTTGCGGTTGGGTTAATAAAATTTGATTAAAATAAAACTAATAACAATTACCTGTATCATACATTAAAAGGAACAAAAATTATCATATCAAGCACACATTATAAATATCCCACAATTATTATATCAAGTAAAAAGCAAAGATGAAACTCAAATTATCAATTTGCAACCAGTGATTTTGCAATAAGGACTATATAGCATTAAAGCAAGTGTCTGGTAAATTTGGAGAAAAATAACTATTTTGTGGGATTTTCCAATGCTGTACTCATTACACATTTATCAAATATGTTCTTTGTGCTGAAAAGCTGTGGTTCAATATAACAATATCTTTACGTTAAACATAGGTTACAAGAGAGTGTAAGTATATACCTGATATTTCTGGAATTCTCTCAAATAGCTTTGGTCAATCTAATAAACAAGTATTTCTGAAAACATTCTTGGACTTATATATGACTTCTCATTTAAAAATAACATACTTTTTTCTATGATTAATTTTATCAAATATTACTCTTGCTTATGGAATTCTTTTTTTTTAAACTCTGTTGGACATCACTATAAGTGAATTCATGGCCAGGTAACTTTAACTTTGTTAAAGAAATCTTATGCTTTGTTGATCTTGAACCCACCGTGTAGAGCACATTACTAACCTCCTAAAATAAATGAATAAAATACAGCCTGCACCAGAGATCAATTTCTGGAAATCCGATGAATATCTCCTTACTTAAATCTTTGCTTTTTCAGAAAGCATGACTGGAAAAACTCAAGCACCAATATTAATACTATATCCTAATTCCTGATTTGGGCATATGCAATGTCTCTTTAGGAAATGTCAATGATTAAAGTTAAGTATGGTAGAATGTTTCCTCTTCTAAATAGGATCTGCTGTAGCAATTACTATGATGCATATGAAAAAAAAGAAATGATCATTTTAAAGATTCTTTAAATGACTATATAATTTTAAAGTACTTGACAGAATTTGATACATATTACCCTGGATGCTAAAAGATTGCAAGTTCTCTTCCACAAGCTAGATCTAATGCACAGCATTAACTGAAATTACAAATTTATTTGAAATATTCACTTTTAGCATATTTATTACACTTTGTTTTATTAATGCAGGATATTATAGCTTTGGTCTAAAATTTTATCTCCATTATGTGTAACGCTTGGCTTGTTTGGGACACATGGTTGACTTCTGATGGGGCCTGATAAGCATTGTTGAGATTACAGATTTAGGTGAAATTACCTAAACCTCACCTAAAGATTGAAAAATCTTGAGACCTTGCTGAGCAGCCAAAGGTAGCAGTGGACCTGGGGGAGTAACAGGATATCCTTGTATGGCACCCTACTTCCTCTGTGAGTTCTTTTTGGAACCAACATTGTTAATTGTTTGTTAACATCAATTACTCGTTACTTTATGTATTCATTTGTTCAAATGTATTAAGTATTGACCATGTGTCAGGAATTATGTGCTGTAACTACCCCAAATCTTCTCTTCCATTGCAGTAGACAGGTAGTATGTAAATGAGCCAATGGGTCAACCAGGGTTTTGTTGATAGGTGGGGTTTTTTTTAATGTAATAATGTTATTGATTTTAAGGTTCAATTTAAATGTCTCTCTGAGTACTCTCTAATCTCTTTACCTGTCCCAATGAACAAGACATCATATTGGCCATCCTCGGCTTCCACTCGATCCACTGCTATTTGTTTCAGGTTATACTTTCCATCTGTTTTCACCAGTATTGGTTTTTTATGGGCAGGTTTTATGGGCTGGTGCATAAGTGGATGGCTTCTTGCAAATCTGATGGCATCATCGGGGTAGTCTTTGGTGGTTCCGTACCTCCCTCCATTCACTTTGCTGGCACACTGAAATACAAACGCATGAGAGAATTTTTTCCCCCTGAAATCTAAAGAGCAAATTTATACTCAATTATGAAAAAAATTACAAAAACTGGGTATGTTCAGTTAATCAACTGTGCATTTAGCAATATTTAATAACCATATATTCTTCATTACAGAAATAAAATCTGCATTAAAAATTGCATAGAGAGACTGAATTATTTCAAACATGCAGCAGTAGAAACAGACAGGTAGTAGTGAAATACTGAAAAAGTAAAGTATATGTAATACTGGTATAGTCTGGAGGTAATAGAAATGTATAACATTATAAATATTCTAATTATTCTTCCTGCTTCTAAAATTTATTTTTCATATTTGTAAATTAAATTTTAATTTGCTATGAACAATATATGCTTTATAGCAAAACAAAGAGACTCTTTATTGTGCTAAATCTTCCCCCCAAATTCAGAATCACAACCGCACAACAGCTGTCCCATTATTGACACTATGATTGGTGATGGTTCCAATTGGCTCACTGACTACAGAATTTTAGTGCTGTAACATTGAAACCTATTCAAATTCCGTCGTTGTTAAATAAGGAAAAAACCCTCTCTGTTCTACTGTAATCTGTATGAATTTATATTATTTTTGTATGAATTAGACACAATAAATTGAGAAAACAAGAAATATTTGCCATAACATGTCTCAATTCTTAAATCACTGACTCTAAAAATAAATGTTCAATGGTACCTAAGTTACTTCTTGGAATACCTTTAACTGCGTTGATTCATGCTTGTTATCAAGTGCTCCCTCATTTCACATATTTTCCTCCAGAACCAGCAGCAATTGCAATGATGACCTTGATAAAAATTTTCCACTTCAGAGTATAAATACAGTAGTTTAGTAATCAGATTCTGCAAAGAGGGCATTTTTAATGGTTTGTTTTAAAAATGTGGGCCATATTTCTTAATTTGGCATGAATTTTTCACTTGAGTGTACTTTCATGATATATAATTGGAAACATTTTGGACCAGCCTGGAAGCAGTTCAGTAACCAGTCACTTCCTCCAAATCTCCTTTAATACCATGTGGTTTCAAGAAGCATTTCCAGCAAAGCCACAGGAGTGGGTTTTCTCCATTTAAATTGTAATTTCAATCAATAGAGTGAAATAAAATATGCTTTATGTCTTCCTGGAAGTAATAATTTTAAGCTAGTGAGAGAGAGTGATTGAAAAGGTAAAGCCTCACACTTGTTAACGTAGGTAAGCTTTGTTTCCACTTTGAATTTTGGCTCTGCAAAAATGGTTTCCACTCGACTTGCAAGCACTTGTGGAATCAGCCTAGTGTTGGGTTTTCACCAGCTGCTCATAATAGTGTAGACCGTGACTTGCATGACAAGTTCAGTATTTGTTCTCCATGGACAGCAGATACAATGATGCTACACTTTCCCAATGTAGGTGTGCACGGGACATATGATACAAAATCATCCTCGTCATAATCATCATCGTGTGTGCAATTAAAAGCACAAGGTTTGAATGGCTAGTTAGGGAGGCAAATGGTGGAACTCCTTATTCTCTAGCAACACAGCTAGCTGTATTGTCACTTCTCTGCCACAAGGCCAGCAAGGATGGCAAATGGGCTGCTCAAAATTCTGAAGAGCCAGAGAAAAAGCTTCCTCTTGACACGTTAAAGTGAGAAATAGGGAGGAAATGTGGCCTAGGGAACTGAGAGCCTGACTCAAATATTATAATAAAAATTTGGTAACATTCTCTTGCATGGAAATCACATGTGGCACTAATTCTTCTGAAGAGGCTGAGAGGAATATAATGCTATATCCATCTCCTGGATACTTCTGTATTCACCAGTACCCTTAAAAATAAAATTTTAGTGAGAGCTACATAGATAGCTAAAATATCAACAATAATATATAATCTATAATGCTAGATTATATTCTTTTCATTAAATAACAAGCATACATCTTGATGTAAGAAGTAATATTTCTTTACCTTGCAAGTAATCAAACATATTTTTAGGTACTGAATTGAACTATTTCACGCTAATTTAGCAAAGCATCTGAAACGATGAACAGAATATTACTAAAAGAGTCTTTAAAAAATAAGAATACTTTGTTAAACGCCTAAACTTACAGAACCAGGTCTTGGATAAGGGACTTTTCCTTCATAGAGCGACCAGTGGTATTCAGGTCCTTCCTTATGTGCATACGGTCCATTAAAGGCTGCCCGGATACTGGACATGTGATAGACACATATAGCATGCCCTCTAAATATATTACTAAAAAAAAAAAAAAGATAAGTTACTATTCTGGAACAGACTAGGAGGTCACCGAGTCAAGCCCCGCAGACAACATAGATAAGGATGAAGTCTTTTGGATAAAAGACTTGCAATCTCTCAAGCACAGGATATTCTAGAGATATTAACTATTGCAGTATTTCAAGTATGGAAACTCCAAAATTTACCATTTTTTGCCTATTTATTATAATAAATTGAAAATGACATTGTTAGAATCACAAAAGCAATTGTGTCACTTCATTTTTTTCCAGTTAAATCTTATTTTTTTATTGAAGTATAGTTGATTTACAATACTGTGTTAGGTGCAGGTGTACAGCACAGTGATTCAGTTTTTCATATATATACACACACACACACACACATATACACATATATATACATATATATATACACATATTCTTTTTCAGATTCTTTTGTGTTTTTATATTTTTTATTAAGATTTGGCCTTAATATTTTAAAGATTCATTCCCAAGTTGAGGAAGGCTTTATCTCCTTGTACGTTGTCCTCTCTTCCAAGTAGACAGTGTTTTCCTATTCACCATGCTGTTAATATTGCTATAAATTTTATTCAAATTTTATTACTTCTCTTAGTGTATATGATTTGAAGAACAATTTAAAGTCTAAAGAAAATTTGGGGCTTTGTTTCATTCTTTAGCTTGGGGTCACAGAAACATTTATAAGCCTGCTGTATATTCCTTCCTTCAGGTCACTGAAAACAGTGCTACATTGGAAAGGTTTACTGGGCTGCACCAGATTAATTTTGAGAAAAAGACTTACATTCTAAAAAACTCAGATTCTTTACCTGCAGAACTACTAGCAACTGAAATTATTTTTTTGATAAAAATTTCTACTTGTCGCAGATAAAGACAGTAGTTGACTAACTACAGCAAGCTTTATTGGAGGCATAAGATTCTGCAAAAGGACATTTTAGAATGATTTGTTTTAAAGATCTGGCTGCATTTCTTAATTTGGCATAATCTGAATGAATTCTAACACTTCCCTAGCCTCCTTATTGTGAGAATTAAAATAATTAGTTTGGGAAAGTGCTTTGCAAAATTTTTTGTAAGTGTAACATTTCCTATATTCTGAGACACCTGTAGAACGGCAGTTATGTTACTGTCTGAGGACATCAATTCACACATCTTATAACACACCTTGAAGCAACTGGAAATGCCTGCAACAGTGAGAAAACCAGAGATAGTCTTCCAACTAACATGGCAATAAACCTTTGATCACCATGCTACGATATCAACCTTTACGTCAGGTAACAGCTGGCAAGCCTTTTTCTCACAATTATGTATAAATTGAACAGTCAAGATTGAAATTATGGAAGAAAATAATGTCTTGCCTTTGAAATCTCAGACAGATCCATTATGCTATCCTTTATGAAAGCAGCTTATAAACTGATCATTATAACCCATAAAAAAATCTATACTGATTATCCTATAGCTTATATTTATCATATAAAGCCGTGGATTTATCATGCAGTGTATAAATTCTTCACTGGCATAAGGCAGAAGATGAAGTGTAAAAAGAAGTTAGGGATTTTCTATGGACTGTAATAGCTACCAATCTACATCAACATCTCCTTGCATCAAGGAATAACTGATAGCAAAACTGTTTCCATGTTTCTGTGATGAAGAAAAGGTCTCCTTACAATAGCAGGATACTTACTGAAAGAGCTTTATTATTTTTTTTTCAAAGTGAGCATAATAAACTACTTGCTGAAAAAGTAAACAAAAACTATGTGGAGAGATCCTAAGCAAACAAGGTATACATGACTATAGAACAGTTCAAGGCCAATGCAATGCAAACGAGGAATTGAGTAATACCATTCTTTTCCTGTCAAGAGAACTGAAGTATATTCTTTATTTCTCATTCCAGTCATATCATCTCCACTCTGCCTTATTTGGAAAGACACTCAGGAAATTATATATATAAACTTTCAACCAAAACTGATTCTAATAACATTTTTTCATTCATGTATCAACACACGAAATATCTGATTCATTTTTCCAGCACTCTTCAATGGATACAAAATACAAAAGCATAAAAGAGAAAAATACTAGATCATAAGCCCTAAACTTGAGCACCTTTTTAAAATTTAAAACTCAGAGGGTAAATCATAAATGTGTGTTCTCTAAGAATCTACATAGGACCAAGACAACCAGAGTAAAGGAGTGAGCCAAGTGCTCTGTGATTAAGGAATCAAGGAGTGTTTCATGAAGACGGCAATTGACAAGTATTGGAAAAACTGATATAAATCAGCGTTAGAAGGGAAAGTAGATAAATAAAATCACAGTCACGGGGAAAGCAGAGACTGGGATTCTGACAAGGTATTATCTTGTCAAAAGCAGAGTTTGTGGGAATTTAGAGGAAAAACTTTCAATCCTGAATGGGGAATACTTGATAGAGAGCCTTGAAAGCCTGACTTGGACAATTGTATATGATGACTGAAAGAATTATCCTAGACTCTATAGCATGGAACTAGTACCTTAAAAACTGTATGAGAAAAAAAAAAATCATTCTGTTTTAGATCAGAGAGGGAAGAACTTAGGACATTGAGCATAGGAGGACGCTGGCACTTCAAACAAAAACAAATAAGGATCTGGATTGAGATTGTGGCTTTAAACATCAAAGTACAACTGCAAACACAGGAGAACGAAGAGAAATTGGTGACTTATAAAGTACAGAAAGTGAGAACAACTCACTGGTCAGTAGTATTTTCAATTGCATATACGGTGAAGGGGTTTGGCATCCTTTGTTTCATGATGTTTTGACTGGCCATATAAATTTCTCACCTGGTAGTGTTGAAGAGTCCAAATATCACTGGGTTCTTATGATCTCTGGTATGCAGCAAAAAAACATCCTCTGAAACATTAAAGACCATTATGTTACTTAATATGTTTAGCCCTCGTTGCATGTGAAGAAAATATATTGTCATAAAAGAGTTTAGAACCCATGATAGATTTTAAGATATAAATTTCCATATACAGTCATATAACAATGACCAAATCACAACACAGTGAGATTGATGACTGTTCAAGATGACTGTGAGCTGGGCCTCAAGGAGGAAACTAGAGGCGCCGGCTCTAAACTAACAAGAGGGGTCTTTCTGTTCCCGCAGCTCCCTTGTCTCCATACGTGGACCTGGCCAAGATGAAAAGAATAGAAACTTGCTCCAAGTTAGATAGAAGTCAATTACTGCAGAAAGCAAATTTTCCATATGTGCTAGAAACAGTGAGAATTATACAAAGAAGCATATATATCAAAGAGGAAAATTTAGCTCTCCCAATAATATTTACCTAATTCATCAAAATATGTATCAATTCCATTCATTCCTGGTACTGAGCAAACCAGTCTAGCTTTCAGGAAAGTACTCCACTTGTTCACTAGGATTCTCTGTCCTCCTACATCATTCTGTAAAAAACAGAAAGCAGGTAAATGGGTACCCAGAGAACTTTTACCAACAACAGATTTTGTATTATTAAACCTGCAGATGGCAAGAGTTACAGTTCTTTTATTTAATGTGAAAATTTGAGCATAATCTTCAAATAATATTAAAGATGCAATGCCCCATCAACTTTTTCTTTAGGTTTGCACATTCTGCCTTGTCAGTGTACTTTCACCCTGGCCCATTAAATACAGTTTCCAGGTATTAAACAACGTTAGTACAGAGTAGAGTACACTTTCCTAAATAAAGTAGTAAATAAGCTTTATGATACAGTAACGTTTATTATTATTTTATTGATAAATAATCCGCTTATCTCAGAAGTACAGAAGCTTCTACTTCTTTTTCTTATTTTAGGGAAAAAGGCTTGAAATACTAACACACAAGCACACATACACATAACAGGCATACATATTTGCACACATACATAAAATACGTATGTGTGTATATGTGAATATATATACACATACATATATACTGAACATACGTATAAACATCTTCTTAAATTTATTCAAGTATCTTCTTAAATATCAAAATAACTTCACATTTATAACACTATTAGCATTCTCTCAATATACATGGCTACTGCAGTTGGTTCTGAATGTTCACAAAACAACCTGACTATGCTCAACAAAACTATATATGTTTTTCCTACAGAATCAACCATCTGAATTGTTGAAACATGCTTATGTAAATTATTTAGAATGTGGATTAAAGAAACTTGCAAGATTTTGGTGAAATTAACTTTTAAAAATGGAGCTCAAACTTCTGTGTAGGAAGAAGTATAGCCTAATTATAGGCCATTTCTTAGTAGGGCTTTGAAAATGGAGAAAACCACACAAAATACAAAGCTCTTTTCAGATTAAACTTTCAGTAGATACGAAGTCTGAAGACTAGATAGTAAATACCAATTTTAGGGAGCCTAAGAGAATCGAAGAAAATATTTTACAGTAGAAACCTACTATAAAATGAACAAAGGCCTGACCATAAATTGCGAGTTAGGCAAGCTTAGTGAGAGAGGAAGGCGGTCCTCACCACGCAGAGTCGCCCCACTCTGGTGTAAATTGCCTGGGCATTGTTTTCTGCCTCCAGGGCCTTCTCCGTGAAAAAGAAATACACTTTGTTGTCATCTCGGTCTTCATTGTCAGGGATCATGTACGAACCTACAAATTTTGGTTCTAGAGAAGTAAAAAACAGATGAAAATGTAGTAACTATTACAACAAAGTAAGTTAATATATTTCCCTTGAAATTTTGTACTAAACATTAAAATCATGTAGCTATCTCCATATTCTGTGCAAATCAACAATTTTTTTTTTTTTTTTGGCGGTACGCGGGCCTCTCACTGTTGTGGCCTCTCCCTTTGCGGAGCACAGGCTCCGGATGCGCAGGCTCAGTGGCCATAGCTCACGGGCCCAGCCGCTCCGCGGCATGTGGGATCTTCCCGGACCGGGGCACGAATCCGTGTCCCCTGCATCGGCAGGCGGACTCTCAACCACTGCGCCACCAGGGAAGCCCCAAATCAACAATTTTTAAGAAATGTTAGGGTATTTAAAATTTAACTGAGTTGGAGGGAAATAAATCAATTTCAAATAGCATACATTATAGACCTGAAATGAATTCAAAGAAGAACAGATTAAGAGCAGCATGATAATAATCTCCATGAATTTCCTCCCATGTATATATGGGAGGCATATATTAAACTCAATATATGTAAAATATTTTAGTAAAGAAGTCTATCATTATTTTTTTAATTCATAAATTATCTATCAGTCCAGCTCATGGAAGACCAGTTTAAGTTTTTGTATTTGTAATCAAAGGGATCTGAGGGGATGACCTTTGACTGATACGGAATGTCAAATACTTTAATGATAAAATGCTGCCAATAATGATTATGCACTCTAAAGCTTAATAAAAAGGCTGAAAATAATGAAACCACTCACTATAAAATGATTTTAGCCCCTAGATATACCAATGTGCCAAAATATACACATGATTCCTTACAAAGGATTCTATGTAAATGAATGCCTAGTGACTCTCTTAGAATTTCATTTGTCTCTCAAGTACAATGTGGTCCTATTAAAACAAGCAAAGCAAAGCAATCAATTCATGCAAAATTATACCAACTGACAAGAGAAAACAAAGCAACTTATTGGATGAAAGGGGTTTTCACTTTTCATATATTTGTCTTGTTCATTTAAGTCTTGATTTCTAACTATTGCTATGAGGGTAATCTGGTTGTATACTAAAGCGGATCCACTCTGCTATAAAATGATATACATATATCATATATAATATTTTAATTCGGTAATATTGCTAAGGAAAAAACCCCTGAAATTTGTGAAAACTATAAATTACATCTGTATTGTTATCGTTATCAAAATGGCAAGTTTCCCAAGAGCTCTGGACTTGCTTTCCGTTCTGATTTACATATGCTTTTCTCCTCAATCCTACCTTTCAACAGGCGCTCGTCATCGTGTTCAGTGCGGATATGAGCCAGTCGCCCCAGGCTCCTGAAAATGGCAGCGTCTCTGCCCCAGTAGTCACTGTAGAGTCCAGCAAACAATTCACTACCTGCAGGAAAACATCAGATAAGTCGGTATTCGTTTCTGGGTCTGATGACAATGTGTAAAACTACAGTTACAATAAACATATCCAGGTTTCCCGTGTATACGGCCTAATGAAACAGATACTACTTCTAAGAGCATATATGGTACAGTCAGATGGCCAGGGTTTGAATTGCGACTCTGCCACTTACTAGATGTGTGAACTTGGGCAAATTGCTTAACTTCTCTGCGCCTCAGTTTCCACATTTACAAATAAGGGAATAGAACTCAGAAGTGTTGTTAAGAGTAAAGCATTTAGAAGAGTAGCTGGTATATACTAAGGCCTACATGAGTATTTGATAAATAACCTGGCTTTATGGTATTTTAATAAACTTCTTTTAACCTTCATATCATCAGGGTATTAGTATTGTATTGGTATTAGTATTAGGACTGGTATTATATGTGAGTCAGCTAACTCAAATTCTTCTTGTAGTAAGAAATTGCTTCCATCGACATGATTTTAAGGCAGGAACCACAAAGTCTGACAAAGCTGTATATAACCCAATTAGTTGTCATTTAATTTGTAAGTGTGTGGCTTATTTAGACAGAAACGACAGAAAGAGCTCATAATTTAATCAGGCAGTCAACAGAACGAACGAAGTTAGCTGCAACAAAACTTGAGTGTCATATTTATAAATTTTATTGATTAGATTTAAAAATTGTTTCGATATTTATGAAGGGTTTTCTCTAAGGTAAGGTCTTTAAAACTTAAAAAAACTTGAACAGAGTAAATATATTTGTATGGTTTAAAATTTGAGAAAGTAATCAACTGAGTTGTAAATAGGATCACTGTAAGAAGTTTATTTCCACCTTGAGATAACTAACAATTTTTAAAAAGTAAAGATGATTGCTTTTGTTAGATTTAGATTTAGAAAAAGAAAAGTGAGCTATAAATTGAATTTAAAAACAAGAAAGCTAAGTTTTGATAAATGTTACTATAATAAACTATTCTTCATTTACAAAAAGACAAGTAACCATAAATGGTTTTTTTGGTTCACAAAACCCACTATGGATACTTAAAAACTATACAAGATACAAATAAATAAAATTCAGGTCCTTCGCAAAGGAATTCACTTTTAAACTATATATATTATAATAAGTGAGAGAGAGAGAGAGAGAGAGACAGGAGAGACAGAGGCAAATGTGGTAGAATATTAACAGTTGGTGGGCCAAGGTAAATGCTATAAGTTTTTTATTCCTCTTTCAATTTTTCTTTGTATTTGAAAATTTTCAAGACAACAAATTAAAAAAGAAGCTGTATTTGTTTAGTTCATCCGGTATAGTCAATACACGCTGAATGAGAAATATGATAAAGAAAATTAAAAAAACTAAAAAATAAAGATGCTTTATTTCCGGAATTAAGAAAATAAAATTTGGTAGAGAAGAGTTATATCAGAACTCTTATTTAAGCATATTCTTTGAAACTAGAAGGGGGGAAGAACGACATAATTTGTATCAAATTCAATCAGCGCTGTCTTCACCAGAAGTTTTATATCCATGTGGAAAAAGAGTATTTTGGGATAAAATGTATTCAGTGGTTAGGGATATGAACCATATGTGGGGTTCAATCTGTACTACTTGAACATAGATAAAAGAGAGTCATGCTGAATTCATTAAAAGGCCTTGGAGATCATCAACTCTATGGCAGAAATGAACGAGTTCACGCACAAGAGTTACTTGACTATTGAACCACCAGAGCAAGGGTTGTTCTGAAATTTTAAAAAATTATTGTACTTGGTTATAGTTTCCATAAAAATATAAAGGCCATCTTACATGGATGGACCTGGAGATTTTCATGCTAAGTGAAATAAGTCAGACACAGAAAGAAATATCATGTGTTATCACTTACATGTGGAATCTAAAAAAAAATGATACAAATGAACTTATTTACAAAACAGAAATAGACCCACAGACATAGAAAACAAACTTATGGTTACCAAAGGAGAAAGGGAGGGGTGGAATAAATTGGGAATCTGGGATTAATAGATACATACTACTATACATTAAATGGATAAACAACAAGGATCTACTGTATAGCACAGGGAACTATTATCAATATCTTGTAATAACCTATAATGGAAAAGAATCTGAAAAAGAATATATATATGTAAATCAACTATACTTCAATAAAATACAGTAATAAAATAAAAAGGCCATTTTGTAAAACTGTCCTAAACAGAACTTATTTTTCTAATATGGACTGGACTGAATGTTTCATTCATAATGGGTACAAAAAAAAGATTTCTTTAAAATCATGAGTTTTATATTCCTTAAGTTTTTCATATTTAATGTAATTCAATTTCCTAAAATATTTACAGAACTTTTATATCTGAAAATATTACTTTGGAAAAATAATCTTTATTTTAGTTCACATCAATTTTCTTGCACTTATCCCAATTTGAACACTGTTTCCAAATTCTACTTGTAATCAATTCTACAAATTTAACAAAAAAGTTCCCCTTGTAGCCACTAGATGGAGCCATATGATACCAAATATACATCCAGGGCAGGTTATCTGCAAAAAGGAAAAGATGATATAGTACCAAATTTACCCAATTTCCCTTTTTGTATCCAGATAAAAGAAAATGGTTTGTGAACAATTCAAATAATACAATATGAACTGTATGACTTAAACTTCAAAGAAGCTACTAGACAGGTGCTAAAAACTATATGCTATGTAAACTGAACCAACTGTGTTCCTGTTGGAAACATTAGATTTTCCTCAGAAGGGAAAGATTCTCCTTTAATATTTTATTATCAGTGTGAAGAACAAAATAAATTTATAGTAATAGATAATAATGATGTTTGGTAACATACTTTCCTAAGAAAAAATAAACACTTTAATGAAAAATAATGAAAATAAAGCTTTAGGCACAAAGTTAACTAATAGTAATTAAATGAGCAAAAATAATCAACATTATTATAATTGATATTATTTATGGCAAATACATAGTTTCTAGTTGAAAACTTTAAAAGTATAACTATTTGGTATAGAGACAATTTGTGAATCAATATTTTGGTATTGTATAGAGCAAAAAATAATATCTGGATAATTCATATTTTCACGGATTAAAAAAAATTTCATACAAATAGTAAAATATGTTTTAGATTTTCAATGATAAGAACAGAACTACTCAAATTTTTAGTTTTCTATGTCTATACAGACATGATATTTAATAAATGTATTAGCCTGGTCACAAAGTTTACTGGTATCTATTTTGATATTCTGAATATAAATAACCAATTTGACTTGTATGCCATATGTTTCATTGTTATAGCACTGGCTTCTGATGGTAACTGATGTTATGTTAATGTTAGTTGGTTATCATTAAAAAATAAAACACATCTGCAGGGTATTTTGACAGGTGAATGTAACTTATCATTGTCATGTTCAACAAGAGTCTCTGTGTACAGATACCAGAAGAGTGGAAACAATTCTGCACTGGAAATCTGGCAAACTAAGCCCCCAGCCCCAAACCTACTGCTTGTGGCAAAACTGTTCGGAATCTCACTGCCTCGGTTATTTGGACAATCAGAGAGGTGTACAAGTGATTTCCTGAGGTTGCCAAGCTTTTCTGTTCTCTCTGCTGCCCGTTTTTTGATTTGTATGTTCTTTGCCTGGAATTCTGCACCTCCCCCCCCTTCCCACTTCACCTCCCATTTACCTGGCCACGGCCCACTTTCTCCATGAAGCTTTCCCTGACCGAACTTGTGTTAGTTTAGTAGCTCCTAGTACCACCATAGCCCCCATGCCTATCATATTTCTCATCCTACTATAGTTTGTCTCCTGTGTTTGACATTATTCCTCACTAGAATGCAGACTTCTTGATGTGTCTTATTATATTCTTTTGTCACCAATATCCTGTAGAGCGTCTGGAATACAGAAAATGCTCAATAAGCATTTGTTGAATCAAAGAATGGCACTAATGAGTTAATTAACAAGTGAATAAATCTAAAACCTTTAGTGTTCAAATTTTTTAAAAAACTATGAAATACAATAAAAACAAAAACCTCAGGACAAGATTCTGATTTTTCAAAAATGCTTCAGGGAGAAAATATCAAAAGAAAGAAAAAACTGTTGGCATTTATATGAATAGCAGAGTTCTTTGAGTCTTTGTTCCTCAAAAAGACTATATTTAACAATTTTAATCCAGGAACACAGGGACTCTATTTTCTTCTAGTATTTGTCCCCAATAGTTTCAGCCCCAAAAGACTGTGTCTACTCTCAACTAGTTTGTAGGAAAGAAAATAAAACAATCATTTGACCTTGGCGATACAAAAACAAACCCATTGTGAATAATTCTAAGTTAAAATGCATAAGTAAAATACTTTTCTACACAACTCCTTTTTTTACAATACAAACTCCAGTTGAAGTTTTAGTGAAACATACTTAATTGCCTTAATATTTTATCAACCTTATCAAGAGCTTAGTTCATAGATGGTATTATTAATCGATTAGAGTTTTTACTCGCCATGTTGTAAATACAGATTTTAAGTGTTCAGTGAGAAAAATTCAGTTTTTCATGCCCTTCTTATTTTCTTAAGTCTTGCTCAAGCATTTCTCCTATTTATGTTGTAAATGTCTACAAATCTGAATAATGTGAAACATGTTCGTCTCATGGAAAAGACATGGCTAAAGATGGATTTAACTACCTCATTTTATAACTGAACTGTATCGTTTTGTTAGAAAATCATTCTACTTTTGCACTGTTTCACAGGGTGATTATTACATGCATAATTGCAACGAGAAACAAAATGCACTTGGGAGGATGAGGATGGGTAAGAATGGTCCACAGGTTCCAACCTCCCGGTTTACGCTCACGGTCTGTGTAGGATGCTGAAAGAAATCAGGAAAAGCAGGTCCTTTTATTAGTTATGTTATGTTTGGACTTTCTGTTTGTTTTTGCTTTGGCAAATAGCTCGCATTAGCTATCAATGTCAAGAAGGTGGTTTCTGACGTATGAAGGA